TTTGTAATTGACCTCCGCAACTGAAAATAATTTTTCCAAAACGATTCGAAATTGTTGAATTTTGACGAAATATTTCACACCTTCTCGAATTTTTTTCTCGAAGATGGTTAGGATTTTGGGGGTATGTTTGTTCACCAAAAATGTTTGTAATTGACCCCCGCAACCGAAAATAATTTTTCCAGAACAATTCGAAAGTTTTGAATTTTAACGAAAATTTTCACACCTTCTCGAATTTTTTTCTTGAAAATGGTTAGGATTTTGGGGGCATGTGTAATGATTAAAAATAATTGTAATTGACCCCCATAACCGAAAATAATTTTTCCAGAACGATTCGAAATTGTTGAATTTTGACGAAATATTTCACACCTTCTCGAATTTTTTTCTCGAAAATGGTTAGGATTTTGGGGGTATGTTTGTTCACCAAAAATGATTGTAATTGACCCCCGCAACCGAAAATAATTTTTCCAGGACGATTCGAAATTTTTGAATTTAATTGTTAATAACTTTTTAACGAAGCCTCCATCAACAAATTGGTATTCTTGATTTTCGTTTTATTTTCGCTTCTAGAATCTCCCATTAAAGTTTTTCCCAGGAGTGGCCGAACACCCTGTATACATATATACTTTCAAAAAATAACTTTTTTTTAGGTCTGAGACATGGGACTGCCCTTTTAAGGATTGTCGGAGGGCTAAGCGGGATAGACTAAATAGCGGTGGCTGGTCATCATTTTTCATAATTTTCTTCTCCCATGATTCTTTCGTCCTTCTGTTACGCCCTTCGTGTAAACGAGCTCCCTTCGGCTTAAGCGTTTCTTGGTGGCCAACGGTAGACAAGTGGAAGATGTTTGGGTCTCTTTTCTCCCTCAAGAGCTACCCTTTTTTTCTCTTCCTCCAACGTGTGGACTCTTTTCTCTTCGTTCGAGCGAGTATGTTTTATGGACAGGCTTCCAGAGCTTTCGCGGCGCCAACTCTTCCGTGGATACACCGTGGCCTGGCCACTTACCGTATACCCCGCTGTTACCAACGTAGACGTAAATGAGATATTGGAATTAGAGCCGAACCCCCCGTGGAATTCGACGGTGAATTGTTCCGGAAGTCGGTGGCTCGGTGATGTGGACAAAAAGGGATGAAATGTAGGTCGTAGAAAGTTACGGAAGGTGCTCGCGAGCAAATTCAGCCAGATTTCTGTAATTAATATACCTTTTGTCTTGACGCAGTTTCTATTCACAGTTGGTTCGATTGTCTTCCAATAACGAAAGCACTTCTCAGTTATAACGTTGCTCGAACCTAGCTATTATCCGTCACTATCGATCTGTCGATAATTTCTATTGGAAATAGGTGGTGGAATAAAAATAAAACATACAGGTCAAACACTTTATAAACTAAACCTTGTCTTTGTTTGAAGCACTTGGAAGGGCACGTCTGTTCAGTTCGGAAGAAACTGCCAGAATGAAGAAAGCTCAGTTCCAAGAGATATTAAGCTAGGTTTGTTTTGTTTAGAATGAGACATCTTTACCTGGAATTCTACATACATATAACTTTAAATAGATTTCAATCTCGTTTTAATAAACAATATATAAAAGTTTTAAAACATGTAACTATTTAAATTAAATAACAATTTTTAAATCATATTTAAAAAATTAGAATACTGATATTAAAAAAATTTTCCTCGATCCATCTGCTAAAGTTTCACATAAAATTTTTGACCAAAAAATAATATTATTAGCTTTCGTATTTTTCAAAATATTACAGAAAATATATATGTATAATAACTCTAAAATGTAGATTAAACGAAGTACAGAAAACTAAAAATTTTTCATCGTAAAAAGTATCGAAGTAGATGAGTAATATTGTCAAACTGGATTTGTTGAATATTATTGGCCGTGACCGGTCGCTTTAAAAGGACCGGTCGACGTAACCGATATTTATAACCGATCCCTTTTTGTTTTTCTTATTCAATGTTCCGTTTCACGTTGGTCCTTGCACTTTAACTCGATTCGCCGCTTTCACAGCGATCTCTCATGATGTCAGCGCGAGCACGGGATCTTTCCGCGAAATTCAAATGTCCGTCTTACGAAGGCGGTGTTTAAATTCCACGTATGGGCGAAACGACAGGATAAAGGAATTTGTCGTTCGCAACGCGACTCTTTACATGCAACTATTATGCGTCTGGCGAGGTAGCCATTACAAGTTGAATACAAACGAGCTACCGATGCCACCAGACTCCCTCCCCAGAAATGAAGTTGTACTTCGTAGAGTAAATTGTCTGCATGCAGTGACGACTACAGTGGCGGACATATACAGGGTGTTCGGCCACCTCTAGCAAAAATTTTAATGAGCGATAGTAGAGGCCAAAATAAGACGAAAATCAAGAATACTAATTTGTTGGTGGCAGCTTCGTTAAAAAGTTATTAACGTTTAAAGTGCCGCTCTTACTGAATTTTTTTCTCGAAAATGCGCAAGATTTCGGGGGTATGTCTATTCACCAAAAATGACTGTAATTGAACCCTACAACCGAAAATAATTTTTCCACAACGATTTGCAATTTTTTAATTTTCTCGAATAATTTCACACCTTCTCTATTTTTTTTCTCGAAAGTGGGCAGGATTTCGTGGGTATGTCTAATGACAAAAACTGATTGTAATTGAACCCCGCGACCGAAAATAATTTTTCCACAACGACTTGCAATTTTTTTTCTCCGTTGAAAAATTTACGCACCTAATTGGATTTTCAGTAAGGAATTTTTTTCTCGAAAGTGCGTACGATTTCGGAGGTATGTGTAATGATAAAAAATGATTGTAATTGATCCCCGCAACCGAAAATAATTTTTTTAAAACGATTTGAAAAATTTTTTTTCGCCGAAAAATTTCACCACCTACTCGATTTTTTTTCTCGAAAGTAGATAGGATTTCGGAGGTATGTGTACTCACCAAAAATGATTGTAGTTGACCCCCGCAACCGAAAATAATTTTTCCAGAACGATTTGAAATTTTTGAATTTAATTGTTAATAACTTTTTAACGAAGCTTCCATTAGCAAATTAGTATTCTTGATTTTCGTCTTATTTTGGCCTCTACTATCGCTCATTAAAATTTTTGCTAGAGGTGCAAACATGCTAATAATTACATTTTCATTCTAGTTATTTTTTTATAAATAGATACTATTATTCTCTGTTGTATCTGTTACATAACTTTGTTATTGTAGACGGTGAATAACACTTTGTCTTAATTCTTCGACAGTGTTGCGGACACATACTTACGAACGCCATTACAATGTATGCTTACATCATTTGTTTGTCCGTGTGATTAGACGGAGCGTATACTAGATTCGAAACGTTAATCATGGGTTTGGGTAAAAATATAACGCCAGAACAATCATGTCAATTACAATCATTTATGGTCATTGCTAATTAGGTGGCTAAAAAATAAAATTTCAAATCGGTCTGGAATAATTATTTTTATTTGCAGGGGTCAATTACAATCATTTTTGGTGAACAAACATACCCCCAAAATCCTAACCATTTTCGAGAAAAAAATTCGAGAAGGTGTGAAATTTTTCGTCAAAATTCAACAATTTCGAATCGTGCTGGAAAAATTATTTCCGGTTGCGGGGGTCAATTACAATCATTATTGGTGAACAAACATACCATCAATATCCTAACCATTTTCGAGAAAAAAATTTGAGAAGGTGCGAAATTTTTCGTCAAAATTCAAAACTTTCGAATCGTTCTGGAAAAATTATTATCGGTTGCGGGGGTCAATTAAAATTATTTTTGGTCATTACACATACCCCCGAAATCCTATCCACTTTCTAGAAAAAAATTCGAGTAGGTACTGAACTTTTTAGATGAAATTAAAATATTTAAAATCAGACTAAAAAAATCATATTTAGTTACAGGGGCCAGTTACAATCATTTTTTATCATTACACATACCCCCGAAATCCTACGCATTTTCGAGAAAAAAAATTTCTTACCGAAAATATAATTTTTCTTCCAGACCTAACTCAGACCTGACCTAAACCTAATCCAGACCTAACCCAGACCTAACCCAGACCTAATCCAGATCTAACCCAGACCAAGGTGCCTAAATTTTTCGACGAAAAAAATTCGAAAAGATGTGAAATTTTTCGTCAAAATTCAATAATTTCAAATCATTCTGGAAAAATTATTTTCGGTTGCGGAGGTCAATTACAAACATTTTTGGTGAACAAACATACCCCCAAAATTCTAACCATTTTCGAGAAAAAAATTCGAAAAAATGTGAAATTTTTCATCAAAATTCAATAATTTCAAATCATTCTGGAAAAATTATTTTCGGTTGCGGAGGTCAATTACAAACATTTTTGGTGAACAAACATACCCCCAAAATTCTAACCATTTTCGAGAAAAAAATTCGAAAAAATGTGAAATTTTTCATCAAAATTCAACAATTTCGAATCGTTCTGGAAAAATTATTTTCGATTGCGGGGGTCAATTGCAAACATTTTTGGTGAATAGACATACCCTCGAAATCCTGCGCATTTTCGAGAAAAAAATTCAGTACAGGCGGAACTTTAAATGTTAATAACTTTTTAACGATGGCTCCATAAACAGATTTATATTCTTGATTTTCGTCTTATTTTGGCCTCTACAATCTCCCATTAGAATTTCCCCAGAAGTGGCCGAACACTCTGCTCATTATGGGTTTGAAGTTTTCACAATGAATCATTTAATTGGCTACAGAGCGCAGAATAAAACTATTCAATACTTCGTAACATACAGAAAAAGAGGGCTCATTGATATGAGGAATCGGTAGAAATTGGAGCGATAATTCCCATGAGAATTCCTTGGAAGGTAGTCGATAGTGATTAAATTTCAGAAATGCCATGGTGTGCGCGTATGTCGGGGGATGATAGGTGTTCGGCGGTTTCCGTCGTCCCTCGGTCATGCTCGGCCTCAGCTACACCGCCCGGACCCGTCAGTCTCGCGCACGACTTCGCGGAGGAAGTACGTGTTCGTTCGTTCCGTCTCGTCGGCCTCTACGCGAAAAAAATCAATCGTATTTTTTTAAATGCCGAGTACCGAAACGATCATTTTATACCGTTAACGAGTGAAAGAGACGATCGATCGGTAAACGAGCAGTGCGTCGATGAAATTGTACAAGTGAGAAACGGTTAGTGCCTGGGTCTTTCGTGATCGATTCTTGTGTGTATCCTGTCAAGGTGTTTTCTTTCGTTCTCTTGCAAGGATATTATGCTACCGATCGCGTGTTCAGCAAGATCGTTTTGACTCGAGGGACAGTCGACCATAGATCTCCAGTAAAATGCTACCGCAGACTCCTGACATCATTCCTACAACACTGAATCAGGTAGGCAATAATTCGAGTATACATACCAGACTGGTTATTTCGCTGGTCTCGCGTCGTGACCTTCAACCTGAAAGTGTGCTTCTTTTGATACAGCCGTCTCTTGCTCGCGCGTGACAGCAAAATGCGGTTGTTTTATGTACGTCACACGCGGGGCCCATTGTTTATGTCTTCCACGAATTTCTTACGAGCTATGTTCACCGTTGAATTTTAGTTACGTTTTTTTCCGTTGTCGTAACATAAACTCGTTTCGTCGGTAAAGAGAAATTCGAGGAACGCTTCGACGTGACTCGCCACATTTTATCGTAGCTTTTGCGTATACGTGCGTTAATATCGGGAAAAGCGACACGGTCGCGTTCGATTTTATTGATTCGCCAACGTGACAAGTTCAGAGCAGTAACCGCGAAGTGTGTACCGATCGGCGAGAGTTTGTGTTTTGTGTCCCGCGTATCCTGCACTCGATCATTTTCACTCTATTTAACTGTCTTTCGAAAAACACGATTCGTTGTTGATACGAAATTGGTGAAAAATACTTAACAATTACCGATTCGTCGTTCGTTGTAATCGTATTATCGGAACAATGTGCCACTCCTGTCAAGATGGCGTGGAAAAGACAAATATTTGCAATTCGTAGTCGCCGGGTTCGAGAAGATCGTCGTCTTCTGGGAACAGAAAGTTCCTTATGTCGCGTCACGTTGTGTCAATATCGCACACTCATAATCGCGATTCTTTCCAACGTAATAATCGTCGGCGGTGCTCGGCGTTGGCCGACAGGTTAGTTCATCGATAATGTCACATGCGTCGATTAATCGAATTCCATTGGATCGTTTCGATTGCGCGATCCTGCCATGCGTACTGTTCGTTCGCGTGAACAAGATTCAAGCTTCCTGACTCGCTAAGGATCGTATTATATGATAAAGAATACCTCGAATTCCGTGTCTTATTCACGATTCGGGTTAAGGTTAAGTAGGATTACGTTTGGAATTATAGATCATTGTTAGGAATTAGACTCGTATCAAATTTTATTTTACCAGCAAAGATAATTCATGCATTTTTTCTTGTCGTTATTATTATTATTACAGTTTGTGTTTCTTTAGACATTTATCATTTTAATTTCATTGATTTTACATTTATACTCGTACGTGACAAATAGAGTTGGATAATTCAATCTTGTCACTTTATTCATAAAGTTATTTACTAAACCTTATTAAAGTAACAACATTGAATTATACCCGTGCACCCATATTAAAATGGTGAAGAGTGATTTTTGTTGAAAATTAAAAAAATTTTAGTAACTAATTCGAGTACGGTAATAGTTGCATAAATAGGACATCCTTGATATTTTCTAACCTCATGTGACCTTGAATATTAATCTGGCATATGTCGCGCAATGCACTCGAAGCTGGAAGCTTTGTAAAGAGTCACAAGCATCTTGGAAACTGAAGCTTCGAAGGCCTCGTGAGACATATGACAGAATAATGTTCAAGGTCACAGGAGGTCAGAAGCAAAGCACGTAACGAGCACTTGGAACATGTGGAAGACGGGTCAAGCGACGACTGAGGTCGTACAGTTTCGTTATAACTCTGCTTTCAGTGTGCACCGGGTCACCTTTATTTTCTTTGGTGTGTGACCTTGACCATTACTGTGTCGTAGATCGCTGAATTCGTCCCAACAGTTGCATTCGTGCAACATAAAGGGCAACGCGTCGAGTCTGTATGCACTGAGCGTTTAGTCTGACCATAGCCAGGCAACCATCATACTTTTCCAGGCCTTACAGACTACCCCACATAGCACACTCTTCAACCACATCTGGCAGGCACAAGATTCCACAATAGTATCCATTGTTTTGTTGTGGACAGTCTGGCTCGATAAATTTCTTACTGGGCTCATCTTTATCAAGTATTCTATTTCATTGCATAAACTGTAGACCAAGTGTAGGAACTTTCACATTTGAAAATATTAACAAATCTTTACTCTGAAATGCCAAAAAGGAAAACTAATGAATTTTATTTGGACTCTTTGAACCTTTCCTTCGATGTTAGACAATGATAACGGTTGCTATAATCTGATAAAGTTTTATGACACTGATAGTGACATTAATTCCATCGAAAAAATTGGCGCGTGTAACATCATCGAGTACAGCGAACGTTCTAGCCGTCGCGCGGGAGAGTCCCATTCGGATCGGTCTCATAGGTGGCGCCACTGCATCTCTGAACACATGCAGTGCTGGACATAAGTATTCACACAGCATGGTTGTGTGGTACAAATACTTGTAATTGCTAAATAAATTGATGTGAAAATATGCAAAAATATATACATATACATTCATTCACAAAACAATAACGAAAGTACTTATGTCCAGCACTGTACATACATCATGCAATTTGGTAATCTTTAAAAATTGATTTTCAAGTTGAGGGAAATAAAGGATAAGATCTATGAATGTTTGCAAGATTAAATAAATAAGAGCTGAAAGAAATTTAAGGATATACAGTTTACAATGGTGTGAAATGAAAATATTGCGAATGTGTTAAATAACCAAGTGGATACTATACGTTTATTGGCAGATTTCGTCCAACTTTCAGGACACCGATAGGCTTTCGTTCGCGGAAGGTGCGTGACGTACCTCGAGAGAGAATTCTTAAGGCGAGTCTTATCGATTACTTTGAAAGCTGACGTCAAACGTCGTCTCGTGCCGCATGACTGTAAAGGGAATTTGTTTTCAAAATAAAGTAATCGCGTGCGCTGTGCACGATTCCAGAAGTCAGTGGGAGGCGGCGTAACGTTCCAAACGCGAAAGATACCTAGCGTTTCTGCGATATTATCTTGCATAGCTGTGCCGCATAAGCAAACGTCTGAAATTCTAGGCTCGCGCATTTTTCAAACGCCATCGGAAATTTTAGATTTTTCAGTGTTCTCCAATCTTCTGTCTTGCAATCTAAACCGACATTGTCAACATTCTTATTTCGATAATAAATTTTAGTGACTGAAAAATAACTTGATCAAATAGTCTATACATAAGCCTGGGAAAAATGTTAATGGGAGATTCTGGAGACCAAAATAGGACGAAAATCAAGAATACCAATTTGTTGATTGGGGCTCCGTTAAAAAGTTATTAATGTTTAAAGTTCATACGTAGCTGTTCGCAGATTGCCGTTCCACAGGCGGAACTTTAAACGTTAATAACTTTTTAACGAAGCCTCCGTCAACAAATTGCTATTCTTGATTTTCGTTCTATTTTGCTCTCTAGAATCTCCCATAACAAAGCTTTTTATAACAAAATAACAACAATGAAACTGTAATTATTAGCATGTATTAAAACATATGCATACCTATAATCCTCCCTTTTGATTAATATTACCGACATAATCCAGCTGTCGTCGAATAATAATTCATCAACGAAACTCCGATAGGCCGAAACGTGAGCGCCGTGGAATTTCGTGGCTTTGCTTCTCATATTTTCATTGCAACGTCGTCATTTAGAATTTCTTCCCACGGTGAAAGAGAAAAAAAAGCGGCCATTAGAAAATCGCTGGCGCGTGAGGATTCTCGATTTTTTCGGATCGTATCGTAAAATATCTATAATATATATATAAAGGAAAAAAAAATTAAGTTTTATGGTTATGCCCTTTCAATGTGGAATTTTTTACGAGACAAGTGTTTGATTTTTTAATGGGTCTGTTAAAATATTGCGAATTCCATAATTGCTAACGCTGATTCGAAAACAATCGCAGGCATTCTGCGCGGACAAATGCGAAAAAGTGGGGAATTTATAATCGTCGTACGTCAAGAAGCGTTTGGTACGCTTTTCGACATCAAAGAACGCAAAGCCCAACAAAGCGCGATACCGCCAGAAGTCGCGGTATTCGTGACGAGAGGTCGAGCGCGGCATCGTTAACACATAACGTGATCGTTAACACAAAGCACGCGCCCAAAGAATACTAAATCTACGTCGTTAAAGTTCCTCGCTCTTTTCCACGACCAGAATCTGTATGCACCAACGTAGACTTTAAACATTTGTCAACACGTTTCTAGAATCACATTTCTAGACGCAATTTACTAATTTTTTTACATGTAAACGACCAATTAGGGTAAATCTGGCAATAGTCAGTCTCTTCGAAAATAAATGTCTGATAATTAAGAAGCAATAACAAATAAAATATACCAGTGGTCAATGTCTTCGACTGTCATGCCCCTAGCGGTGATACTATGAACTACAAAACCTCTTGTTCCGATGGCGATTGGCTAGCTAATATCACTTTACAGTCATCTTTAATTTAGTAACGAAAACGGTCGATCGAATCGAGTCGTGTACTATTGTTAAAATAAAATATCGTTCATATTTACCCAACGCGTCTGTTCGTGCTTATTGCTTCGATCACGTCGTCCCGTTTCTCGTCCATTATCCGTCACTTTAGCCAGCTTTCAAATCGTTCTCTTTCGAGCTAAACAGTTATCGCTATCCGTTCGCCTCATCGAAAGGATCACATTACGTTCTCGTTACGAGGGACGTCGTTTGAGGGTGGGGGAGATAGTTCGAGAATTCGACGTACTACTGTGTCGTCGCGTTGATCGAGGCTCCCTGGTTAATGAGATTTTGCGAGCTACCGTGGAAGAATTGGGGGCAACCATGGTCTGTGATTTTCAGTTTAAAAGCTTTCTATCTCTTTCTCTTTCTCTCTTGCTCCCTACCCTTTTGGTTTCTTTCGTGTCGCTTAATCTTGCGCCTTAATGTGTTTTAATTTACCGTTACTTGCACACGTGGCTGTCCAACTCGCGGAGAAAGGCGAATGCGAAAACGAAGAGGCAAACGCTGCTGCCCTTCTCTCGTTTTATGGACGCGTATACCGCCGATGGGGCGGGGAGGGGGCCAGCATACGTTTACCAATATGTCCGGCGCGAAGAGGGGGGAGGGGAATTCGGTACGGTGACACATGATTTGAGAGTCGTATGGTCGCGACAGGACGCAACTATCGAGATTTTATTGGAAAAATCGGGAATAA